TTAGTGTGATCCACGATTTGATTTTTCATGTTACCAGAGTCTGAATCCCGCAGCCCGGGCTCAATCCAATACTGAACTGATTCTCAGGGATCTCCTATTCGAAAATTGTAAAATCATCTGTGGAGACTGACTGTCACCGATCTTAGTTGTTTCTCAATTGCAAACTTGTAAACTTGTAATGCGTAGTTCCATGCGCTCAAGCCATTTGGTGAAACAACTAGACCAGGCAGAAGCGGGTAACCCTTCGATCAGGTCAATAAAGGCCTCCAGTGTAGCTGTTGGTCACTCGTCACGCATTATACGCTTGAAAGCATGTCATTACCAAAGCAGCTCGCAAACGATCAGCACTCTGCTGCTGCTAATGCTGTTTTAAATCATATTTATAGTCGTAGAAAATCATCACCCACATCCGATTACATCGATTGAGTTTCATCCGTACAGTCCGACTATATAGTGACCCTTGTGTGACTTGTATTGTATTGTATTGTGTATTGTGTATAACTTTTGCAAGCACTGTAGCTCACATTTCAGTGAAAAAATCATACACGCTAACCGTCACAATGTACATAATCAACGGGGACATTCAGAATCCGAGGTTAAGACAAAATTCACTTATGGGGACATTCATAATCCAAGGTTAAAACAAAGTTCACTCATTGTTCGCTCTTTGTTTGGAGTAGACGAGCAAGATACGGTATGGGTGAATTGTGGTATGCATTAATTCGAGATGAAATTTGGCGAAATTGGGAGCGTGTTGACTGATGGGAATGACATCGTGTCAGTTCTGCATACAATGGGTGGTCCGGATCTGTGAGAATCCTCTCGGCAAATTTCACACAGTGAGTTACGTGATACTCGGAAAGCTTTACAGCTAATTCATTCACAGGAATGGAAGAGACACGACTAATAATGGTTAGACCGCGGTGTAAGACTTTGAAGTCCTGTTTGAGCAAACCAGGAAAAATAACCAGGGAACAGTAGAGTAAGATGGGGAAAACACATTAATGAACAAAAGTAGAAATAACTGACTGATGAGCGAAACTGCCTGAGCTTTCGTATTTGAAATGAAAGACGTCGCAGTTTACCAATGCAGTTGTGGATGTGGGTTGACCAATGAAGATTGCTATCTATG